AATGACATTTATAAACACTAAACATTAATGATTATTTATATATAACATTCCTCTATAATGATTTTATAAATATATAAAAAACAAAACAAAAAAAAAGTTGATTTCTGTTTCGTTCTATTTTATCATCCATCATCAAATAGTGATTCAATATAACCAAAATGGATCGATTGTTTTTTACCTATGGTTTTTGTTTTCATTGAATGATTTCTGCTTTGAAAGAAAAATAACGTTGTGTTCCGGCAATTTTGTGGTTGTTTAATAATTTTTCCATAGAATTTCAATCGATTAATTTGCTATTTATCTTATCATTATGATCATATTTTATTTTTTTTGAAAATTTTTTCATGTTTTTACGTTTTGTTTGTTTTGCCATTTGCCAAATTCATTTGGTGGTAAGAAAAAGCAAAAATATTGATTTGTTTTCTCTCTCTTTCTCTCTCTTGATTATGGAACAATTTATCATTTATTTTATTTTCCGTGATTCTACCCACACGGTAATTGTCAATCGTTTGGTTTTTTCCATTTGAAAACTTTTTTTTTCTAGATTTTACCATTTTTTTTTGTCAATGAGAAAACAAAAGGTAAACATTTTAAAAATGTAAACAAAAACATTCAAACGGGTGTTTTTTTCTTCTTACACCATTGTCAACTTTGTTTGTTTGTTTGTTTTTTCAAATATTCTCCCAAAACAGAACCAAAAAAAACATTGATAAAACCAAAAGAAATAATCTTTTGATGTCAATGAATTACTTTCTTTTTGTTTTGTTTGCATTCTTTGTATGAGAACCAAAACAAATGTCTTTGTTTTGCTGCTTTGGATTCTAATATATTTTATAAATATAAACATTGAATTGCCCGATGGGTGTTTTAGTGTTTTTTCTTTCTTTCTTCTTCTTTCATTCACATCATTCAATGTTGTTGTTGTTGTTATTCAATAATAATCAATCGATTTGTGTTTCTATTTTAAATGGGTGTTTCGGTTTGGTTCCCTTGTTTGTTTAATAATATTTTTCTTGCTTGTTTTTTTTTCTTTTGATTTGTCAGGTTATTACGAAATCAATCAAAAAAACAAAAATTCAATAATGAAAAACAGGAACCAAAAAACAACAAAAACAAACAAACATTGTTTATAACAAATAAATGAATTTCATCTCTCTGCGATATATATAGATTTATCTTATCAATTTTGGATAATGATAATAATATCAATAATGATGATCATCATCATCATCAAAATCAATAGGAATCGATATCAATAGTATTTTTCTCTCTATTGAACAATGTTTATTTTTGTTTTTGCCATTGTTTATTTGTTGTATCGATTCATGTTTCTAATCAGGAAAAAAACAACAAATGAACAAAATTTGATCATGACATTCCTATTTTGTGTTTTCTTTTGCTTTTGCTATTTTTTGTTTTCATCATCTGCAGATGAGCCTGTTCGAACAAAATATATACACCATATTCTTTATTATCAATATATTCTGTACAAATATTTGGATTATCCTCTTTTTTCCATTTCCAAATAGAATATTGACATACAAAACAAAACAAAACAAAACAATCCATTTCAATGTTTTCCTGTTTTGTTTTGTTTTGTTTTTCTATTATCCATCTTCCAAAAAAAATTATCATCATCATCATTATTCCGGTAATATAAATTGTAACTGGGGTTATTATTATTGAAAAATAATCATTGAAAAATGAGAAAAAACTGGAAAAAATGGAATTTTCTTTTTTTTTCAATTTCAATTTCAAATGTTTACCAAATGATAATATCAATGTTGTTGTTGTTGTTGTTGTTTTTGCATAATCAATTATCAATTTCATTTTTGTTTTGTTTTTTCATTTTCATTTTCATTTTATCATTTTATCGTTTCTGTTATTATTATTATTAAATTATCCTCATAATCATCATCATCATCATTTGATTGAATAAATTGAATGTTTCAATGTTTGTTTTAGCCGATATAATAATAATATTTCTCCATTCTTCTTTACATTCAAATATTTATTTTGATTATTATTATTGTATATCTTGACAGAGAGAAAAAATAAATAAATAAATAAACAAATACAAATACAAATATTTTTCCTGTTTGCGTGTTTGTTTGTCTATTTCTCTCTCTCTCTGTGTATGTTGTGTTTATGTTTGTTTTATTATTCGATGAATATAAAATACAAACGAAAAAATAATAATAATAATCTTATTGAATTTGACAATAATCATCATTATAATGATTGTTGTTGTTGTTGTTTGATTGTCGTATTGAAATAACAACAACAACAACAACAACAAAAATTCTGAATAAAAGATAGCTGTAAATGTAAATTATAATTATAATTCTTATTTGCTGTTGTTGTTGTTGATGATGATGTTGATAGTTGCCATTCAATCAATTGAATCGATTGAATCTGGTTTTAACTGGTTTGTTTGTTTTTTTTTGCTGAATGAAATCAGATTAAACCCGTGTATGGTATGTATAACATTATCATATATGATAGTAAACTCTTGTTTTCTTTACCAGGATTATTTTAATATTATTTCATTGTCGTCGTCGTCGTTTGTTTTTTAAAAATAATTATCAATCAATTATTGATTATTTTATGTTGTTTTGTCATTATGAAATCAATGGTGTGATATTATTATCATAAGATAATACAAAGAATGTTTGTTTTTGTTTTTGTTTTTGTAAAAAATTTTTTCCAGTTTAATCTAGTTTGTCTAGTAGTTTATTGATAATGAATTTTCTCATTCGATTTTTGAATCCTTTTTTCTTTTCTTTTCATAATCGTCAAATGATTATTTATAAAGTAAATTATTAATTATCATTTAATAAACATACCATCACACACACACACAGACTCAACATTATCATAAATCGATTAATCAATCAATCAATCGGAATTGATTGATTAATCAAATTTACAAATCATCATTTGTTTGTACATGATGTTTATGTATGTTCATCAGACATTATTTAATCAACAACAAAAAAAAATTTATCGTGAAAAACAAACAAAAAAAAATCCCTTAAACAGACATTGTTTTTGTTTTTTTTAGTTGAAAAAAAAAACATTTCAAAATTTCAATGTTTTGAACTTGGAATCCGAGAAAATTGCAAGATTTAAAAATTCATTTTTAATTTTGGTTAAAACTTTCCAACGCCAAAAAAAAAAATCAATCAATGATCAATTTTGGGTTCATTCAAAGGGAAAAAAATCATCATCCGCATTTGTTTATACAGCATATATTTATTTTTTTCCATAATCATTTCTTCTTCCTCTTGTTCTATCTCTATATAATTTGATTATTTTCTATCCCAAATTTCATTTACATTACCAATTCCTCATTCAATTCATTTATTTGTTATTATGAACATACACAGAAACACATTTATAAACATTTGATAATCATCATCATCAACAAAACAACGAAAAAAAACACACAGTATAAAAAATCAATGACAATCATATATAGAGAAAATTATCATCATCATCATCATCATCATCAAACATCATCATCGTCAAATAAAACAAACAAACATCATACAGAATTTTATTTTCATTTGAAAATTACCAAACAAAACAAAACAAAACGCTTCTGCTTTTATCTTGTTTCAGGATTTTGTTGTAGTTTGATTTTCTCTCTTTTCAATTCAATGTTTTCGTTTGTTTTTGTTTTGTTTGATTATCATCATATATAAATTCGGCTGTCTGTTATCCTTGTTGTTGTCGTCGTTTGCACACATTTACAAATGAATTTTGCACATGTGTGCTTGTTGTTGTTCGTAAAATTTTTCTTAACATAATAATTTCTATGCTTGAAAATTTTATTATATAAAAACCAGCAATTTGATTCATTATTTCACCCAGTTTCATTTGGTTGTTTTTTTTTGTTTCAACATTCGACGAAGAAAAACATTGTTGTTTTGTTTTTTTTTCGTTTAAATAGATTACAAGTCTGCTTTTTGCTGTTTCGATTGATAACTTTGAAATGGTGAATGAAATTCAATGTTATTCAAATACATCAATCAGCGTATAGAAAACATATTTGTTATTGTTGTTTTGAATGCAAAAAAAAACCGGAACATTCATTTTTTATGCAATAAAAAATCATCCAAATTACGGATTTCAATTTGATTATTTGGATCTAAGAATTATCTATTAGATTCCTCATCATTATAAACAGGATTTTTAAATTTACAAATACTGATTAGCTGACAAAATCAATAAATCATCTCAACCAGAAAAATTTGTACCAGCATTTTTTTCAAGTACAAATTTTTTTAAACACTGTTTTTCTCGATTTCTCTCAATCTCATCATCATCATCATCATTATCATCATAAATGATGTCATGTATAGAAAAACTAAATAATAACAACAAATTTTTTTGATAATAAAATCATTTTCATTTAAAAGATTATTATTATTGTGAAAATAACCCATTAATATATGATTTTTTGTCTTTATCAATGATAAAAAAAAATCCTTTTTTGGCTACCTATAAACATCACCAATCATCATCGTCATCATCATCATCATTTGATAACATCAGTGTGCAGATTTTTTTTTTTGAAATAATTTCAACAACAAACAACATTAATTGCCATTAATAATAAAAAAGAATGATGATGATGATAATGATAATCCAATTGAATCAACATTGAAAAAAAATAATATTTATATTTTTTTCTGTGTACGAGAGAGAAAAAAAAAATCATTATCATTATCAACAATCCAGAAACAAAAACAGAAAAAAAATTGGCTGGCGCCAATGGATAATATTTATTGTTGTTTTGTTTCACCTATATAATTTAGCTATTGTTTCTCCGGTTTTATTATTATTATTATTTTAAACTAATCTCATCATTTTTTTTGGGAAAAAAACAAAACAAATCTTTGAATGATATTTAAACAGATTGGCGTAGATGAAAATCAAAATCATTTAATTTTTGTTCTTCAAAACATGTGATTTTTTTAATTTTTGACTTTCTTTTTTTGACTTGTGTTTCTCGCTTTATCTATCTATCTATCTATCTATCTATCTTTGATCGTATAAAAATAATGTCAACAATTGAAAAACAATCGATTTATAATTCAATAATGATGCCGACAAATTCGTTTTCAAATCTTACAACAACATTATTACCTTCATCATCATCATCATTACAACAACAAGATTCTACAAATACATCATTATATGCTGCCAATCTTATTGCTAACAATTTATCACCATTATCATTAGAATTATTATTATCTAAACTGCAGAATCAACGTAAATTATTATCATCATCATTTTCAATGAACAATAATCATGATGATGATGGTGATGAAATTCATTGTGAAAATCAACAGAATAATTTTGATATGGCCATTTTACAAGAATTTAGTCGACAATTAAAAGCTAATATCGAACAACAACAACAACAACAACAACAATATCCCAACAACAACAATCAAATTGATTTAAATTTCGATATAAATCGTGCTTTTGTTGGACAATTGTTGAACAATTTATATAATCCAAATCTTTTGCAACAAACAACAACAACATCGACGCCGACAACAACAACTACAGCAACAGGAATTTGGAATCCACATCATCATCAACAACAACAATCAAATTATTCGGTAACAGAATCACCATCACAGGCAAATGATAATCATTTGAAATCATTGATCAATAATATTGATAAATCAACAACAACAAGAAAATTTAGTTCGGCAATTGATTTGACCAATAAACTTGATAATCAACAACAACAACAACAACAATCACCAACAGCAATAAAATCGGTTATTAATTATCAATCAATCAATAATCATCATATTGATAATAATGACGATATTGGTCATTCATCATCATCATCATCATCACCACACACACCTACATCATCATCATCATCCACATCATCATCAACATCATCAACGGCAAATACATCAAATCAATCATCATCAATCAATCAAAAACCACCATATTCATATATTGCATTAATTACAATGGCAATCAGATCAGTACCTGATCATAAAATAACATTAAATGGTATTTATAAATATATAATGGATAATTTTCCATATTATCATGATAATAAACAAGGATGGCAAAATAGTATTCGTCATAATTTATCATTGAATGATTGTTTTATAAAAGTAATTCGGGAGAAAAATAAACCAGGTAAAGGAAATTTTTGGACATTGGATCCAAAATTTAATAATATGTTTGAAAATGGTAATTTTCGTCGCCGAAAACGTCGTAATATTAAACATCAGCAACAGCAACAGCAGCAGCAGCAACAACAAAGACAACATCAACAGATGGTTGAACGGAAACGTATGGCAATGAATAATCATAATCAACAACATTTAAATCATCAAAATTTTCAAATTCGTTCTAGTCTAAATCATGATAATCAACAACTGGCTAATAATAATATCAATCCATATGGTATGTAATATTGTTTATTGATTTTGGAATGAAAATCAAATAATTTGAATTTTCTTCAATTAGATCGTCGTTTATTGACTAACTTATCGGTACAAGATTGTTTTCAATCAATGAAAATTCTTGCCAATTCTGAACAACAACAGAATTCACATTTTCATCATAATAATAATAATAATCATATTTCATCATCACAATCATTTGTTGATTTATCACGACAACAACAACAACAACAACAACATTATAATCCTCAATCACAACAACCATCATTACAATCATTATATATGACAGCATTATATTCTAATCCATTGACTACAGGAACTAATGATAATTCTACTGTTGCTAATAATAATGCTACAGGTTTAATTCTTGATTCTTATCATCATCATCATCTTCATCATCATCCAAATCTATCGATTGCATCATTAAGTAGTGGTGGTACATCATTATCATCATCATCACCACCATCATCAACTAGATCATCACCGGATAATCATGATTTGTTGGAAAATTATTTTGAAATTGAACAACATCAACAACAACAACAACAACAAGATGGCACTATTGATCTTCGTATTGATACGAAAAAAAATCAAGATCGTCTTGGTAAAGAATCATTAAACATTATGATAAATGATGTGGAAGATCGTTCATCCCCAGCATCACCATCAACATCAACATCATCGGCAACAACTGTTGATGTTGGCAACGATAATAATAATGTTCATAATACACCATTATCATCACCTCGAACACCATCTAGTGTTGAACAAAGAAACAAAGAAATTGGTCATCATTATTCATCATGTTGTTCACCAGATGACACTACTGGTTCGGAAAATTTTAAATCAATGGCTATTAACACATCATCATCGACATCACCATTAAAAGATTATTCAATTGCATCAATCATTTCATCATCAACATCAACATCACCACAATTATCATTAACGATAAAATCAACAGATATTGAAGATTAAATTATCTCAATTTTTATTATTATTATTATTATTATTATTATTATTAAAAAATTTAAAGAAATGAAAACAAAAATCCCTCCATTTTACACTTTATCATCATCATCATCATTATAAATGTTTAACAAATTTTTTTTTCTAAATTAAATTCTTTATAATCAATTTATAATTAGAGCAAAAAAACAGCAAAAATTTTTATCAATTTTCATACGAAAAACAAATTACAAAAATCAAAAATGATTAATTCGATCTCAAAATTTATATGTTTGTTTGTTATCCTTCACTCTTTCTTTCTTTTGGCTTTTTTCTTTAAATCTTTCTTTTCCTGTCATTTAAATTCTCTCTCTCGCTCTCTCTCTCTCTTTGTTATGTTTTAATTATTTTTTTCATTATTAGTAAATTGATGATTAAATTAAATTGAATTTTCTATTTAAAAAAAAAACAAACCAAAAATCCAAATGTTCTGTGTGTAAATGAGTTGATAGAAACCAAAGATTAATCAAAGGAAAACACATTGGTTTCCATATGTCTTTTGGCTGATGCTGTCTCTTTGCTGTTCTCATGACCTGAATATTGAATGAATTTTATTCGTTTATTGGACAATTCGGATTTGAATTTTAATTTTTTTGTGATTTTTAACCGTAGAACACAGAATATCATCAATTTGATCAAATTCTTCCTTATAAAAGAGCAACTATAAAATAAGTTCTTATTTTTTTTACTTTCAATCTTTCTATTGATGTTCTAATTCTATTATGCAAATGAATGTGTGTGTGAATTGAATTGAATCATCCATAATTCATCACATGTGTAGAAAGTTTTTTCTTTTTTTTCTTTTTTTTTGACAAGATTTTGGAACAAAACATGGACAGAAAAACCACACACACATACACATGAATCGATTATATGATCAAACAACTAAACTGAAATCTAAACCAAAAACACAAACCGGGTATAAAATCACCACTGTTTTTTTTCGTTTTGATATTCAATAATAGTATGGGTCAGCATGGAAAAACCAAAGCCAGATAGAGAGAGAAAGATTGTGTATTGATAACTTGTATGTTTTGTCGTCATCGGTTGTGTTCATTGTTAATTTTCAAACAATACAAAAATGTATGTTAAAATAATATTGGCAACAAACAACAACAAAAATTGATCCGGCCCCTAAGCAAAGACCATTCATTCATTCACTCTTTCTTTTTGCTGTTGCAAATCGTTAGAATAATAATTTTTGTTTTTCAAGTGGCTTATATAGTGTGACATAAGTCTTATCAGATTTTTTTTTTCTTTCTAAAAGCTGGAAACAACAAAAATGGACAAAATATGTTTCACTTTTTTTTCACACTTTGTGTGTGTGTGATCCTAAATCCATATTGTACACACACCGAAACACACACAGATCACACAAATACGCAATCAATTTTCAATCGATTACAGTGGAAAAAAATCGTCAGTCAGTGTGTGTGTGTTCTTCGAAATCGGTAACATTTTTGTCATTGACAAAAAATACGATTCAAATTTCATTTTAATTCAATTAATCTTACTACTGGTTGGTTATGTGAATTGAAAGCAATAAAGCCATCCAAAAAAAAGCATTGTTCCATATTGAACCAATCATCATCATCATCATCATCCACATAAACGAAGCAATCAATTATTAAGTGGCTATTTGAGGCTCATAAATCCTCATTGAAAATTATGGATCAAATTGAATAAAAAAAGAGAGCAAAAGAGAAATGATGATTATGATCCTCATCATCATTTGAAACAAAAATGTTTACTTTAGGAATTTTCGCAATTGAATTATTCAATGTGTTTTGTTCATTTTTTTTTTTTTTTTTTGTTAATCGGAGAAACTAAATCATTCTTCATTCGCTTTTACGTAAATCTCTCTCACGAGTCGAAAATACGTAATTTTTGAAACGCAATTCAATATTTTCAAGTACCAAGATCTATGATCCCTCTCTTTGATTTGGTTTCTCGATTCCCTACCTTTTCATTCATTTCTCGCTAATTTTCCACTTTTTGAAATTTTCGAGAAAAAAAATAATTTCAATTGGTCAAGTGGATATTACTTTGATGAAAAAATTGAAACAAAATTTTATTCCGTTTTTTGAATGATTCGCGAGCAAATCATTTTGATGATAATGCCTATATGGTAACTATACTTGATGAAAAATCAAATCATTTCAGTTTAGTTTTCTCTTTCTCTCTTTCTCTTAAAACTTTGCATTTTTCTCCATTCTCATTGTAATAAATTTAATTTTAATCCGTTTTTTTTTCATCCAGATATTGCGTGTGGCAGATGAGAAATTTCTTTCTCTTACTTTTTTGTTTGCCTGTATATTTCCATATGGGAGGTCTTGGCATCGATCCATTCGATGATAAAGCATACAGCAACAATAAAGTCAATCAATTCGTTTTTCGAAGAAGCAAAATGATTTCCAATTAAAATCTTAAATAATTTGATCCATTCAAATTTAATTTTTGATTGACAAACATTTTTTTCTCATTGAATGTATGTCTGTCAATCTGAAATTTTCAATAAAAATGAAATTCCACACTGAAAAACATTAAAATGAAGGAAACTGTCATAGAGAAATAAGAAAAATTTATTTCGCTTCAAATTGAAACCAATAAGAAATACTATAGTGTCATTCTCATATGTGTGTGTGTGGGTATAAATGAATGACTGTGTCATAAGTTTTGGCGACAAGCAGTCTGTCAAGCTGATTTTCTTTATTTCTCCATTTCTTCTCTGTATTTCGTTTCCAATGACATTTTTTTCGATTGACATTTCAATATTTTTTTACTTTGAAGAAGAAGAAGAAGAAGCTCGAAATACTTGGAATTTGAGATATTATAACATGAGAATACATAAGGAAAAACGGATGAAATCAATGATTTCTTTTTTCAAAGATCCGACGAAAAATTTTTAATGTTTTTTTCTTTGGTTGGTAAAAATTGACTACTGGTATGCATGTGTGTGTAGATTTCCACTAACCAATAAAGACGGTCATTATGATGATAATGATGATAATCACCATCATTATCATCAATGATTTTCATCATGCTATTGATGACAATTTTTAGTTTACTAATTTTTTTTCGGCTGTTGCTGCGTTGCAAAATGACCATAATTAAAATGATATTATCGTTTTTCTCCTTCTGGTTTTTTTTCTGGCTGTTACTTGGTCGTTTGCTCCTGTTGTTTGAGATTTGACTTTTTTTGGCCTCATGAAATAATTAATGTGATTTTTGTTTTGTTTTTGGTGTGTTTGACAAATCGATTCTATTTGATTTTCATCATCTGATGACATTTGATTCTTTATTTATGACAGAAAATGCATTTTATTATACTATTCGAAAACCATTGATGTTTCGATTGATGAATAACATCATCAGCGAAAAAAAAGCTATTGATGGCATCCCATAACCATCAAAGATGATGGAAAAGAATAAAATTAGACAATTTTGGTAATTTATTGCTCAAATGAGAATGTAAGAGAAAGGAAAAATTCAAATATTTTTCTGTACTTCAGTATCCGACACTTGTCCTTTTACAGTCAGTCATTCTCTCGAACCGAAAAATCTGAATTTGAGAAAACAGATCTTAACCATCCATACGAACAACCAACCAAAAAAACATGACATGTAAATTAGCTTGCTAAATGTGTTCGGCATTTTTTTTCATTCTTCATTGCTTCCTTTTTCAATAATTCTGCATATGGATTGATGATGAACATTACTGAAAAAAAATATTTCTTTGGCTTTCACACTGTATTTTCAATGAGTTATAATCATTATTAGTCCTCTCACCCAAAAAAATCGAATCGAATAGCCTTTTCGTTTGTAAAAATCAAAGGAAAAAAATATTGTAACCAAGAAATCATGTCTAGACCAAACAAACATTTGATTTGATGATTTGCCCGAATCATTTATATGTTTTGGGCAATAATAATTTGAAAATGAACAAACAACAACAACAAAAAGTTAAAAGTTCATTATTGAAATGATGAACTTTGAAACTTTGGGATATTTTGTTCAATAATCATCCAAAAAAAAAATTTGTCAAAAGAATTTATGTTCAAAATTCCTTTTCACTTTGAAAATTCAAAATTCCGTTCGAATATCAGGAATTTTTTTTCCAATTGAAAAACATTAAAATAGCTTGTTTTTAACGATGTAAGAATTAAGAATACCACACACACACATACTTATAATGAGATATATTTAAATACTTTTCAAATAGAAAAAGAATTAAGATTTTTTTTTTCTCAGTTTAATTTCAACAGAAAAGCGACCACCCGAAGATTTTTGCGTTCTATTCGCGGCTGTCAA